TTTTTTTAATATATATTAAACACGAGATTGTTACGTTAACCAATAACCGAAACCAGGTCGCTGTCAAAGATATGGGCCAAGCCTTTGCAACTTATTTACTTAAACCCGATATTCCGGAAAGTCCCTACATTGTTGACGTCCATGGACCGAGTTCATATACTCCGAAGGATGTGCAAAAGGCCTTCGAGGAGGTTGTTGGCAAGGAAGTTGAACTCCGACTTGTCGAGAAGAAAGATCTATCGCAGTTTTTTGCCGGCTTCCTCCCAAAGAATGTGGCTGATGCTTTCACCGAGATGACCATTGCCTTTTTGCCGGGAGGCATTATGGCGAATGCTAATGCGGAGAATTCAAGCAGTGATCGAGTCTGGAGGGGAAAGACGGAGTTGACGGAAGCTATTCGGGAGCTTTGTGAAGGGTCTGGGTAGGTGAAGGCTATGCAGGAACTGATACTTCATTCTAGGCTGCTGTTGGGACTGGCTATATCGATTATTTTCTGGGAGTGTGAATTATCTGTGGATTGAATTGTATTATCGGTAACAGTGATTCACAAAAATTATATGGTGGAAAATGTATAAATTAAGTCAAAAGCCTGTATAGGACGCTTCTTTACTAAAATAGCTTATATGACTACCACTTCTCTTACTCTTAGAAGTGGAATCCTGGACCACTGTAATCAGTCGGTAATTGCAGTAACCCATTGAGTTAGCAAGGGTACATCCAATCAGAGCTGCAAAATGTCGTACCCTGCTACCTACATACAGGTGTTAGGGGCGGTCGGGCTCACTACCCGGTCAACTCAAGAAGACATAGCCTCGCTCGATGAAGAGGTCCTTGAGGACCTGTTGTTCAGCCTCGACAGGTTGGTGGGAGCACGAAGGTGCATGCGAGTACTGCACACATGGAGTGTGAGCAGGTAAAGCATTGGTCCAATTACCGCGAAATAAAACAATAGACGTCGAGGCAGATTTACGCTTCGGAAAGACGTGATCAAAGGGAAAGATTCATACCGATTATATCGATAGAGCAAGGCGAGGCATTCAGAGATAAGCTATCAAATGCGGTTACCACAGCGGTCGAAGTAATCCGGGGCATCGGTAATACAGAACAAGGGGACGCTGCATACCTAATAACGGACCCACTTAATTACAGAATTAGTGGATCTAGTTGACATTTCAACAAAGGACGCTGCTAACTTCAGAAAGGAATATGTTAAATAGGAGAGAGTCCGTTTAGTCTGAACTAAGGGTTTTTGTCAGGAGAGCAAGAAACAGACGGGACCTTAGATAGAACTGCCGTAGCTAGGTCATATTGAAATGATAAATACCTATCTCCTGCGACTTCGAACCGGTGTTTTCGGGAAGGATTGCTATACAAGTGCGTACACAAATCGAATCGAATCGTTCCCTACCGTACCTCCATGGAACCGCCGAGCATCATATTCAATTAGCTAATTCGGAGATATCCGAGACTTTCAATGACTTTGATCCGGAGATTCACAAGCTAGGATTAGGGCGGAAAGTACAGGCCTTCTAACAGAAGTTTATAGTCATGTCAAAGACAACTGGCCACCCCCAACCCCGGCAGTGAGCCTGTACACAATCGACGAGGACGAGGTAGTCCTCTAGTCCCTTCTGTGGGGCAACGGTTCGGTTTCATGTACACAGATGAGCGCGATGGTGTCGCATAGACAAGGGCCTTAATGGGCTTCAAAGTCACAGACTACTTTGCTCCTCCTATCCTGGCCACTGAGCAGCTCAGCCGTAATAGATCGCAGACATGTGTAGTATTCATCATGCATTGTCTAGCTATTCTGTGCATAGTGTTCAGTTGAGTACGACAGCAATGATACAAAGGACTTATAGTGTATTATTGCCAAATTTTTCCCCAATGCATATTACGCCGTGACGTGGGAATAAGCACAAAGAATAACCTTTAAACAATCATGCCCCACCAATTGGAAGGGCTTTGGCATCTTAGCCTGCTAAGGATTGGTTCAAACACCTTTATTTCCAACTAAGGAATACTAGGCATCAAAGGCATCAGATATCCCACATATTCGCCATGATAGGACGGACAGTAAAGTTCTGGTGTTGCCCAGTTCCTGTCTCAGTGTCCATCCCTCCGCATCACCAGAGTCTTCAGACAAGACTAATTTCCGAAAGCTTCTGTTGGAAGACGTGTGATATATAGAGTATTGCTATCTTCTATACAGCTTTGGACACGATAACTCAGTTGCTTCACGCTTTGCACAGAAGTACTATGTCGGGCCGAAGATGAAGCTGAGAGCACAGTATGTCGCAGCTCTGGCTACACAAGACCACGAACATATGGCAGTATTTATGCTAGCAGAGCTACCATCACTTCATTAACTCCCAGTTACATCTGGAGCCCTTTCAGGCTGTCGCTTAATATTGTCGTAAATGAAACTGCATGGCAGGCCAGAATCCAGGCGAAGTTGCTACAAGATGTTTTGACCACGAGATCGCATACCAAAATCAGTCCATGGGTACTGTTCGTGCTTTAATTTCAGCCCGCAACAAAGCTTCAGGAGTGGGGATTACAAAATGAAACCAGATACCAGCTATCACCCAAAAGCTCTCCCTAGAAGAAGAACCGATCAATGGCCTACTCTTGGATTAGAATCTAGGTGAATAGAGAGCTTAACTTATCTTAGGTAAGATGTAGTATGGTAGATTTGTAAACTCAGAAGACTAATTCAAAGCCGTGATTATTATCTCCTATAACATCATCAGCGAGAGATAAGCAGATACACAATCATAGATCAGGAGAAATATGCGATATGCCCCAGCAATAGAGCAAAGTATCACACTCTCTCGCGATTTAAACGGAGTCGTCACGGCCACCGGCGCAAGTGTTCCTTCGGGTACTCATGGGTTATGATATGTCACATATACCATGAGCGTTGAAATCGAGAGTGCCAGAAAGAGATTTATAGTTTCTGCTCCACAGGAGATGATGGAAACAATCATGTTTATCCAGCTATGCTCAAGCTCAAATTATAAAACAATCGTAGTGCCTGGTAAGATGATATGGCAGACAGCGACTCTGCGAGCAAGAAGCGGACGGTACAGCCGGACCGAGGAACGGTACGAATCCAAGGCAAAACTCCGCACAGACGATATGCATATCCCATGCATACGTGCCCAGGGATCATCATCGTTCATACGTCAAACTGCAGCCGAACCCTCGGTGATCCTCGGCAATTGACAATCATAGCAGTTTGTTGCATTATATTCATGTTGGGCGAAACCAAGATGGTTACTTCCCGTGGCTCCTTACCTAGCCATTCCTGGCCTGAAAGTTACTAAACTACCCTCGTTCACTCCTTTTTACGTGAATTCTTGCTTCAATCACTGTTTAGTATTAGCTAATCATAAAGGTGATCAAGAGGTTTATGCCCTCGGTCGTCTTGGTCAACTTTTGGTTCTGGCATAGATAGCCGAGCTGGACGTTTTCTAGGGCTACTACTATTCCAAGATAACGTATACCATGAAAGGGTGGTTCAGCATGTTAGATACTTTCGCTACGGCCTAGACTTTAATAAATGGGTATATAATATAAAAAAAAGAAAAAAATAAGGAAAGGGAAAGGAAGATAGTATAGAATCTGGTTGCCCAAACGTAAACGTCGTGACAGTGCCAGTTTTCATGCCTTATCAGAATATGCGGTCAGTCCAGTTGCTCCTGCTCGCCTGAAATCTAATCTATCACACGGGCCTACTGTAAGCCACATGGCACGAGTTATGCTTGGATATTGGTCGTATAAAAAAGCATATCTTGGATTCCCCGCAGTTGGATTTTCTTTCCGCGCGTCATACTCGTAACATCCGAGGTCCGTTACGGAATAGTCACAGACAAGGCTCAACTCTGATTTTATGCAGTTATGCACTTGATTGGCTCTACCGTCTATACTGGAATGTCAGTGGACGAAGACCCCATCCATTCAGCGGTGAGGTAGTGACGACCCACTCAATGACAGCTAGAGCTCACTTCCGTGTGGGGATGGTCTTATAACGTGGGTTATATATCCGCCATGAAGTCCCTGTGGTGAAAAGCTATCGTCGTCCCCTTCTTTTCCTGACTCTATCTGGTACTTTGAAACGATGATCTTCGAACCGTCGTCGCGGGTGCCATTACCCACCACCGATGTTATCTCCTACATCTTTTCCGATCCTCCATATGACCATGATCAACCAGTATTTACCTCTTTCCACCCATCGGTAGAAACTGAACATATTCTAACTGGACCAGATCTACATCGATGCGAGCAATTCCTCGCGGTCGATCTCCTACAACCAAGCTCGAGTCATCGTCCGGAAGTTGATTGCCGGCTTGCGTGCATGGGGTGTACAAAGAGGCGACTGCGTAGCCATCCATTCCTTCAATGATGTGTGTTTCATCCAGCCAGACCAGACCGCCTAAATAATTCTAATGGGAAGTCTGATAAATAGATCTACTATTCTATGTTGGTCCTGGCGATCAACGGCGCCGGCGGTGTCTACACCGGCACCAATCCCTCCTACACCCCCATGGAGCTCGGACACCATATCAGAGCATCGCACGCCAAATTCATCATTTCTGAGCCAGAGATCATGGCCCCGATCCACGCGGCCATGAAGGAGACGGGTATCCCAGAGTCAAATCTGTTGGTATTCGACGTCCAGGGTCAGACTGTTCCAGCTGGGCTGAAGTCATGGCAAACACTTTTTTCCGCTGGAGAGGAGGATTGGGTACGATTCGATGATCTGAAAATGTGCGAAGAGACCGCCGCCGCCAGGCTGTTCAGCAGTGGAACTACGGGTCTGCCCAAAGCAACGACGCTCACGCATCGCAATTTCATTGCCCAGCATGAATTGGTCTTTGAGGTAGAGAAGCGACCGTACCAGGTATTTTCCCTGACACAATGAACTCCCTAATGAAGCAAAGTCGATGAGTCCGAATCTTATTGAGCATTATAGGTCCGCCGACTCATGGCCTTACCCATGTTCCACGCCGCCGCGGCCCCTTCCACTCATTGGAGTCCGCTCAAGGGTGGCCATGCCGTACACGTAATGCGTCGCTTTGACCTGATGGGTTTCGTCACAAATGTCGAAAAGTATCAAATCACAGACCTTGCGATAGTGCCGCCCATTGCGGTCGCCCTTGTCATGAGTCCAGAGGTACAGGCGCGCCCATACCTAAAAAGTGTCCGTGTAGCTTCGTGCGGCGCTGCTCCATTGAGCAAGGAAATACAGGAGAAGCTCCGTGTCATGCTGGCGAAGGATGCACCCTGCACACAGGTTTGGGGCATGACGGAGACATGTTGCATTGCGACGAGATTCGGAGCCTACGAGCAGGATGACACGGGTAGTGTTGGGAGGTTGATACCTAACGTAGAGGCCAAGTGGGTTTATACCATTATTCCAATGTTGAATCTTAGTGACTGACCAGAATCAGACTAGTGGATGACGACGGAAACAATATCTCGGCGTACGGGGTCCGAGGCGAGATCTGTGTCCGAGGACCTACCATAACACCGGGATACTTCCAGAATGCCGCTGCGAATGCTTCCTCCTTTGATCAGGACGGCTGGTACCACACCGGTGACATTGCATACTGCGACAAAGATACTCTGAAGTGGTACATCGTGGACCGTAAGAAGGAGTTGATCAAGGTCCGCGGGTTCCAGGTCGCTCCGCCTGAGCTCGAGGCCGTTCTGCTCTCGCATCCGCTCATCGTCGATGCGGCGGTCATTGGCTTGTCCGGTGTGCTTCCCGATAGTGAGCTTCCGCGGGCTTATGTGACTCGGCGTCCCGGAGCGGGCGACAAGCTGACGGAGAAGGAGGTGCAAGAGTATCTTGGCCAGAGATTGGCGAAGTATAAGGCACTGACCGGGGGGGTGAAGTTTATGGATGCGATTCCGAAGAACGCAAGTGGGAAGATTCTCAAGCGAATCCTGAGGGAGGAGGCCCAGAAGGAGGTTGAGGCGGGCTTCCGACCGAAGTTGTAATATTATTTATTCTCCAGCTGATGTTTGTATTTCGCTAGAATACACTCTAGAATCAATCACACCACGTTTAGCCCACGCCATGAATGTGCCGGACCATTCACTAACATCCCCCAAGACATGATGGACCGCTTTCTAACCTGCCAAATAGAGGTAAAGATATAGTCCAACTCCGCCACAGTAAAGACAAACACACAGCCTCCATATACACCCTCACAAACTACCTACCCACTCCCAATACCCTTCTCCCCCTCCTCATCAACACTCACCATCCTCCCCTTCTTATCATCCCACCTCCAAACCCCCCCATCCCCAACATTATACCTATAATAATTCTCCGTCCCCCCAACCACCAACGCCCTCCGAAACGTCACATTAATCCTCCCCCCTCCCTCCCCGGCCCGTTTAGGAATACTATGTAACCAATTCGCCTGCGTCTCCCCCCTCATAACAACCATATCACCACTAGCCAGAGGAAACTTCAACGGCGAACCCGCCTCAACCCCCGGTTTATGTTTCAACAGAAAATCCCTCTTGGCCCCGAGAGACAAAGACGCAATACTAGGGTTTGGACCGAGGAATCGCTCATCGTCAGAATGATAGCTTATACTATCTGTATTGCTTGCGTAGTAGTTTATCAAGATGAAATTGTAGTAGTCCTTTGGGGTTTGGGTTGCTGTTTGGACGACTTGTCGGAGATGGTCTAGGCATGGCGGGATTGGACGGGGATTGCATTTGTATTTTGTTTTTGGGATTGGGAGGTTGATTTTTGTGTCGAGAAGGGTGGTCTTTTCTTGGTCGGCTGTGAAAGTGGAGGTGGCGTCGACCCCGAAGACGGTTGTGAATCTTGGTGTGGTTATCTTTGTTGGTGTCTTTCCTCGGTGAATTGTGTATTGGACTTTGTAGAAGGGGAGGGAGTTGCGGAGGAAGTAAAAGAGAGTTTTCGCTGTTTGGGGTGGGAGAAGGGGTTGGAAGTAGAGGAGGTCGAGGTGGGGGTGGTTGGTTATGGGTTTGGGGGGGTTGAGGGTGGTGGAGATGTTTGTTAGGGCTTTAGATAGGTGGGGTGATAGGCTGGGGATTGGGAAGGGGTAGCTTGAGTGGTGGGTTAGTGGTGGTGGCTGTTCTTCCTGTTCTTCCAGTTCCTGTTGTTGATGCTGATGTTGTATATTGAGAGGGTTTGAGGGTTGAGACGGGTCAGGTGAGGTGGGTCCCACTTTAGGTTTCTTGGGGATGGGTTGGAAAAAGGATTGGATCCGTTTGGACATGATTTTGTGTATTGGTTTTTTTTTTTTTTTTTTTGTGTTGCTTTTGTGAAGAGGAACCCATTTCAGATTTATATGGAAATGTAGCATTAGGAGCATGATGTCATATGGTGATCTCATCTGCTGGATGTTAGGGCTAAATGGTTCCTTGGTTCCTGATCAGCCTTATGGATATTATCAGATCGATCGGAATGCGGCATATTACTCGTCAATCGGGAACACTTTAATTTATTCTAATGTATAGTTTATTTTCGGGAGGCACTTTCTACTATGTATGCTATGTGGTATGTAGATCTTATCTAGTATTAGTTCTTCGTATTACTTCCAGAGGGACAAACCTTATTACAAGGTTTGGTGCGAATATCATACTATGCCTATGAAGCTGAAACCACGACACTGTAGGCGAGATGGCAGATTCCCAGGCTGAAAAAAGGCTGTCGATCACTTGATTGAAGTTAAATATTTCATAAAGTCTGTGTAAACTGTGCGGAATTGAATAGAAGCAGGATCACGGATTGAAAGAGGAACAGTCAACAATTGCAGGGCATACCGCTTCTTTAAGACTAGAATGTATGAATGCGACAAATCAGAGGAATTCATTCAATAATAAGAGAAACGACAAACTCAAGTGTATTGATAGCCTCAAACCGGGATAACTAAATTAACCCTTTGCACTGTACACTCACGCATCGAGCAGTTTGACCTCAAGCGCACCATATCTTGCATTAAGCACGGGGTCCATAAAATAGACATGGTTTCTGAATATGCAAAAAGCACAATGGACGAGACCAAGCAGAACGAATTATACCGCACCCATCTCACAAGATATTAAGAAACAATGAACTGTTCACCCTTCTCCATCCCACCTGTCAGAATCCTGTCGCTATTAGACTCATCATGGCTCAATCGAAACACATTATATTTCTCATCATGCCAATCTCTAGCACTGATCATCCGGCCCTTGCTATCCCTATATTGCACTACATCCTCCGCTCTTAGAAAATACGCGATGCTGTACCGATGCTCCTCTTGACGACCAGACACATTTGCGGGTGTAACCCGATGCACGCATGACTTGAGTAGATTACCAGAGAGAAACCGGAGCGAGTCACCCACATTGACGACAACATGGTCTTGCATTGGGGCGACAAATTTCCACTCCGACGTTTCAGATGAAAGGACCTGCAAACCCCATTGCTCACTAAATAGTAGTGTGAGGGTTCCGATGTCGGTGTGCTTATTATGGCCGACTTTATTATCTTGTGTCTCTTGCTTCGGATATCGGAAGAGGGTCAGTGTACTTCGTGATTTCCCTCCTGGGCGATGTTTATCCTCGAAGCGCGAACCGGAGCTCAGACCGAAGACATCAGAAAGGCGGGCCAGAATGGTAGTGGTGATCGTATCAGAGGCTCGGATAAAGCGGTCAAAAAGTTCGAGGTTATCTTTGGCGGCTTGTGGGAGGCATGGTGACTGTCCGTATATTTCTGAGCGGGCAATCTGAACTGTATTTAGTCTTTGTATAAAGACCTCTTTTGGTCTTTATCCTCACCTTCAGGGTCTCGTAGAAGTCCAGTGTACCATTAATTGCTCCTGCTGAGGTTCCGCAGGGCTCATAGCTGCTTCTAGTCATTCGAGGAATTAAGTTGCGCATGGCTCATCTTACCCGTAGGTATCACTGCGACGGTCATCTTTCATCTTCGTCATAAGATCCTGACTGAAGTATTTCTCCATGATGCGAAGAACCTGTTGCCAGTCATCTAGAATTGTTCCAATATTCTTGAAGTTCAAGTAGAAAAACCCATATATTTTGCAGGCATCCAGGAGTCGCTGGGTCTCTTCAACATCTTTCGCTTCGAGGCGGGCATAGTCAATTGTGGGCAGGGGAGCAATCGACAAGCCATTGGGAGTTTGAGAGAAGCTTTGAACTGAAGACATAGTGCAGCTATATTATGCTTGTACTTGAGAATAATAAAATATCTTTTCAAGAATGTCATCAAGACGTAAAAAACTCCCAAAGGAAATAGTTCTCTATTTGTGCGCTGGCCCCAGTAGTTCCGAGGTGACTCGATATGACATAGACTGAGAGTCATAAGATCGATGATTGTAAGAGCCTCTTGCCGTGCAAACAAGTGGGACGCTGCCTCGAACGTTCGACTTGTCCAACAGTGGCTCATAGAGCGATTATTACCAGCAATAGGAGCTCTCGACCGCTATACCTACGAACTGCGAGCCTTGGCACTTGGATTGGTGTCACCTTGGTTTCCTGGTTGTCATGATCAGAAGAGCACAATGATTGTTTGCTATCGCACAGGTTCCAAGGTAGTGCTACGTAGCTCGGCCATGTCATAACCATCGTCGAGGTCTGCCTTTCAATGTTTCTCTCCGAGGGAAGACCATTGTGCAATTTCACCAACTCCAGTCAGGATAGAGCTTAGCCGCACAGTCATGCCAGAAATGATCAAGGGTCGGCAAAACCCAACATGGCTCTAAAAAATGCTTCTTTCGCCACCACGAACGTGATAAAGAGACAGGGCCCGTGCGCGCCTCGTCAGTCTCAAAGGTCTCACTGAGGGAAGATACGTATCACCGCTCTTCATGGTCTGGCCACAGTGACAGACGCCATTCATAGGGAAGAGCATGTTGACAATCATAACGAGTTGGCATACTCCAGAACGACCGTGTTCATGCACCACTCGATAATGACCAATTAGTCCAACCACATCCCAAACACCGCTGATAGCACGCAGCTAGACTTGAAACGCCCAAGCGCCAGGGTCCAGAGCAAAAAGCCATGTCCTTGCAATTAGTACTCCGTAGTTTTTTTTTTTTTTTTTTTTCGACCCTGTATAACCCCACCAGATCCTGTAGTAGCACGGGGTACTCGTTAGCTCCGTATGTATTGTCTAGACTAGTATTTGTCAAAGCGCACAGTGTCATAGTAGCATGAACTAGTAAATGCTTGCTTTTAAGCAGGAGATCGACAAGACATGGTCGGTGATCTGTTCTAATTTCTTAGACTTATCGTGAAAGGATCATTAATCATTAATCACGGCCTCGTATTCGGGCTAAAGGCAGCGTGGGCGATCAGGCTAGGGGATTTATCAGGATGATCAATACTATGCAAAAGCCGAATGATAAATGGAAGTTAATCAAGAATGCTCCCAATGCCAAGCCGATAATCGTTCGAGTGCCGACTTTCAACCTACACAATCCCTGTCAACGTTACCTTCAGCATGGCTTCTAGATGAACTCTGTCGAACATCATCTCCTCGGCCACCAACTACACTATTGTCAACTAGTCATACTTCATAGATTGAGTTTTTTTTTTTTTCTTTTTTTTTTTCCCTCGATCATCTGATATGCAAGAGTATTGAATAAATTTAATAATATTAATAACTGTAACAAGAATCAAAAACACCCCCAAAACAAATACGAGGCGACCAGACCAGGCCGCCCCACCGAACCAGGCCCGAACGAAGACCGCCAGGGACACGATGCCACAAAAGCAGACAAGCACTGTGACAAATGACACCATCCACTAGTTAGTTAGTTAGTAACTTGGTTAGGGCTGTTGAATCCGGATCCCATCTCTCATATGATTCTATGCATAATCATAGACTCCATAGGACTATGCGTAAGAATAATCACATAATTACCGTAGTGGCAACACCCCAATCGATTATCAAATTAGGTCTTACTCGGAGATACACCTGTCTCAATTCTAGACCTTACACAAAGTTCCTCCCCGGATACCCCCGGGGTCACAGATATCCCACATTTGTCAATGACATCAAGACAATTGAAAAAAAAAAAAAAAAAAAAGTCAGAGAAGAAGTAGGTTGTTGCGCATACGTGGATAAAGGCGGAATGAGCCGCGGAGTTCCGCAACGCAAGTTCTCCGTTTCGAGGTCGCCGAGCCTACAAAAGAGTGGGACCGAGCGGAATCTCGAAGACACTGTCTCGTTCACGAGGTTGCCGGATATTGCTTGTATATTAAACTAAATTGCAAAAAATTAATATCCTTAATTTTAAATAAAAAAAAGATGCTTCTCGGATAATTGCCACATGGCGTGGAATCAATTTCGTCGCATGCCGAATAATATGCTCCACTGCTGGTGATCTTCGTTCGCTAGATCATCCTTCGTGCTGCATAGTCGATTTACTTTGGTCGTACGCGTTTGTTTTTGAGATGGTTCAGAGGTCTGTTCGCGTGGCGATCTTCTGCAACGAATCTTCTGTGGTTTTTCTTTTTTGGGGGCTGGATTATGGAGATCGTCCTGAAGATTGGGCGGCGGCAATCCTATGCATCCTTGAAGATTTTTTTTGCCTCCAACTCGAGGGGCAAAAAGTGATATATCATAACCGTATCTCTATTTGTAATTGAGGGGATGTGTTTATCAACTTTAGACACATCCAAAATGACATCACGAGGCCTCTAGAAGCCTATCGAAGGTATCAAGCTTTGGACCTGTAGGAAATCCTGTAAAAACAAGCTCCACAAAAGAAACAATAAGGGGAAAAAAGGAAAATATGGGAAAGTTAGTCGAATATGCATACAAAATGCCCCACCAAGGATATCTATTACAGAAGGAAAAGAAAAGAAAATAAGAAAATAGAAAAGAAAAGAAGGGATGGCGCGCTAAAACCGCGTCTGATGGTCGGAATGACTCGAGGACGATTCTCCTCCAGCCAATACCTCCACGGTTTGCGATACGTCAACGGTCTTATGGATCCCGCCATCGCCGGAGGCGCTCATATCGACTGTGCCCGCGTACGAAATCAGATGGCTCTGGTCGGATCCAAATTCGGGCTCGGTTCGGGACCCCTTCGATCCGATGGTGGAGAATCCCTTGCCGTTGGCGCCTTTCATTTTGCTGAGGTGCATCGAGGACTCGTCCCGGTAGTACTTGTTCGAGCCGTAGCTGTATCCGGCTTTCCGGAGTTTGTTGATCAAAATATTCATCGTCGGGAGACAGGCGCAGATGAGACCGACTCCTCCTTCCGCGTTACTAGGGGGAATGTTTAGCTTTTTTTTTTTTCGCTCTGGTGGAATGCTGGAGATGTGGAGACGTACCCTGACAGAATCACGCACGTAAACATTACTGTAGTATTGGGCGTACTGCCGTCTTTCAAAACCAGAATCAGTCGGTAAACACTGAAGGCCGTGGCGAGTCCTCCAGCGGACAACATGCCGATGACTCGGAGCTTCTTGCTCCGCGACATTTGTAGCGACCAGGTCAGCGGCAGTGGCAAGATGAGAATCATAAGATCGGTCACGACGCTAATAACCGAGTCGGCAATCAGGGCAGCTTGTTGATCGAGACAGTTGGCCGGTTCCCCAGTCCAGTATGCCGGGACGGGGTCACACATGCGAATTTTGACAATCTCAGCGATGATGTAGTAAATGGTCAGGCATCCGAGGAGAACATAGATGAACATAATCCGGCCCCGGTATGGCGCGAAGATCCGGATCAAGATGGAAAGCAAGGCGTATTTCACGAAGAGACTCATGGGACAGTAAAAGACGGTTGCGATATAGCAGAACTAATTCGTCAAGTCAAGATCAGTATAGCCCGAACGTCATTCCATGGGCGGCGGCCTTGAAATACCTTGCGGTAAGTCACCTGCATTGACTCCGGGACCAGTTGATAATTTACACCACCGCCATATTGTCCCACTGATACCATCGTTAGTTATTGTGAATTGCAGGGTATCAAAAGGGGGGGGGGATGTCGACTGACAAACAATGGCAATGGCGCAGTATGCCATGAACAGAATCTGTTGGACGGTTAATGGATGCCTCCCCCGTAGGACTTTGGGATACTTGCCCATGCTAGGAAACAGAAGGCTAGATTCAAGTCAGTCACCGAGGCATTTCAGCGATTTGGATATGGCACGTACTATCTTCGACGACAACAAACTGCTTATACCAAAAGCGGATTCCAAACCGCGTCGCCACGAAGATGGTGACGATCGGAATACACAAGCATTGTGTAATGAGGTTAATTGTATTCAGGGAAGACCCAGGATGAGTTTCGGTCATTGTTGATGACAACAATGGAGCATTATGGAGGCTCAAATGGAGAAGAAAGAAAAACAGAAGGAATTCAATGTGGGCGAGTCCCCAATATATCGATGGCCCTTAACCAAGAGCAAGAGGAGCGACTCCATCGATCGTTCTCATGCATGAAATGTCCCGCTCTGATAGGCTACGCTGGGGGGGGACGTCCAAGCGTTTGTACGGAGTAACAAATATTCGGGAAATGCTTGTGAACTTCCGGAACATTGACTATTCAATGTTAAGGTGTGGTTGAGGACCCGCCACCGTGTACTGCATTGGGGAAAAAAAAAATCTAGTTCTAGCTTGGACGGCAGGAGGCAAAATGGGGATGTACAACCAGATCGATCTTGATAGGTGCATCGACTTCCCCGGAAGACACCGGCGGACGACCTTCGAAGGGAAAATGATAGACGCCACCGAACCATGGTCGTTTCATTGAACTCCATCCAGTATCACTAGCGAATACTACGTCGACACTCGGCGGAAGGGCAAGACTTTTGGTGTCAACTCGGCAATTCATGGGGCGCGGGTGGGGCGTCTATTTCACACTACTGTAATGCTGCAGCGAACAGCAACACCAGCAGTTTGGTACGGGTTCAACTTCCTTTCCCCCCCCCCCCCACCCCCCCTTTTGCCTGCTTGGGGTTTAGCAGACTTGGTATACTTAGTATTACTTACTAGTCAATATTGCTATAATAGGTGATGGTACAAGAGTAGTATTAGACTAAGTGGTCCAGGCAGTATTTGAAAAATTTCAGGACGGCGCACATGCCACTACTCCACGAGTTCAACTAGGCAATTCATGCATTGGCTTACCTGTCTAGCGCTATTAGAATATGCTTTTTTGGCTACTATCGTGAACCTACTAATGCGCGATAGGGATGCGAAGGGCGACGAGAAGCAGAAGAAACAGACTCCAGAGAGAGAGAGAAAAAAACGCAGGGATCAGCGGGAATGACACCACGACCGTTGGCAAAAAAAAAAAAAAAAAAAAAAGAACCCAAGATCCAAGACGAATAAGGGGAAGTTCGGAAACAATTTACAGAAAGCTGTCATTGGCGGTTATTTCATTCTCGGTGGAAATGAAGCCGACCAGGTTGGGTGAAAATGTGGTTCATTTGGCTAACCCTAAACGACGACTAACACTTTAACTTTTGTCTCGGGTGGAGCACACGCGACATGCCAGTCAAGGTTTTTTTTCTCTTTTACTCCCCTACTTCGTAACTCGTAACGCCTTCTCTAACAGTCTAACTATCTCTTCTCTCAGTCTATGACTAATGCCATGCTGTTTTAATTACGCGCGGATACTGTGCCGCCCAATGTGTTTGGTGTATAACTCTTAATGATCCCTCGGTTGTTGTTGTTCCACCGTCGACCTGGCATTACTCCGTAAAACCCTTGGCTGGCGCGACACCAAGAGTTACTAGATAGTAGCCCTCCTTTAGACATCACCGTGACCAGCCAAGTTGATATGATTGGGCCTGCGAGAAGCATTCGCCAACATACTAGCCTATGATGGTACAAGTACAAGTCATTGCCTCGGAAGTCTCATCGTCTTCGAAGGTTCAACCCGCGGGGCCCATAATGTCATCGCCTCTCATTGGAGTCCCAGACATTGTCGGGGTCCATCTGTCAACCCATTTCGGTCATGAGCCGTTAGAGAGTAAAGAAAAAAGGAGACTCGATCGACATTTTGTAAACGAAAGGGGCGGAGAGGTGTTCTTATCGGTCGCCAAATAAAATCCCAAGAAATAAGTATCCAGTCGTAGCTCAAATTTGGGTCGTTCCATTGTCATCGTCTTCTGTCTTCCACTTTCCTCTTATCTTCCTTCCCTTTTTGACAGGGATCCATGCTATATACCTTTCTCATTACTGTCTAACTTTCTGACGTCTCTTTTGCTTATTTCTTTTTTTAAATCCTTCCTGCCCCACTATGACCATTCGCAAGCTGGAAGGCGAAAGCTCCAAGCTCTTCCAGCCGCTGGACATCAGCAATGGCAAAATCAAGCTTAGCCATCGCGTAGTCCATGCGCCAATGACCCGCAATCGAGGCGTCCCTGTGAACGCCACCAGTACCCCTGAGAATCCCAATCGGACTTGGTATCCGGGGGATCTCATGGTTGAGTACTATCGGCAGCGGGCGACCCCCGGCGGGCTGATCATTTCGGAAGGTATTCCGCCTTCACTCGAGGTATGCTCTAGTAGGATATCATGCACCTTGCCCCCTCTGCCCCCCAAAACTGCGATAGGTAGAGACAACAGGATGGGGGAATTTTGTGATAGTGAAAGTAACACATTGGCTGCCTATCTAGAGTAATGGAATGCCCGGGGTGCCCGGTCTGTTTACCGAAGAGCAGATCGCTGGCTGGAAAAGAGTGGTGGATGCAGTCCGTGAGCAAGGGGGTTACATCTTCGCTCAACTGTGGCATGCAGGCCGTGCCACCATCCCCCAAATGACTGGATCCCCAGCGGTCTCCGCCTCGGCTACGGTCTGGGATTCGCCGACGGAGTGTTATTCTCATCCCCCCGTGGGATCGACAGAGCCTGTCCGCTATGCGGACCACCCGCCGATCGCATTAACTGTCCCACACATCAAACAGACCATCCAAGACTATTGTAAAGCCGCTGAATGGGCCATGAAGATTGGCTTTGATGGTGTCGAGCTCCACGGTGGAAACGGATACCTTCCTGAGCAATTTTTGAGTTCCAATATTAACAAACGTACGGATGAGTACGGTGGGTCGCCAGAAAAGCGATGCAAGTTCGTCCTCGAGTTGATGGAGGAATTGGCAAAGACCGTGGGTGAGGAGAACTTGGCCATTCGTCTTTCACCATTCGGATTGTTCAACCAAGCGCGCGGCGAGCAGCGTGTGGAAACCTGGACCTTCCTGTGTCAGACCTTGAAGCAGGCCCACCCCAAGCTGTCGTATGTCAGCTTCATTGAACCTGTGAGTGTCATCCTCTGTCGCTAGACGACTATTACTAAGAGACATAGCGCTACGAACAAATCTTCAGCTATGAAGAGAAAGATAAGTTCCTGGGCAGCTGGGGTCTCCTCGACGTAGACCTCACGAGCTTCCGCAAGATCTTCGGCGACACCCCCTTCTTCTCGGGCGGTGGCTGGAACCAGACCAACTCCTGGGGAGTCTTGGAAGAGGAACGCTATGATGCCCTGCTATACGGCCGGTACTTCACCAGTAACCCGGATCTGGTGCAGCGGTTAAAGAAGGGTATCCCCTTCAAGCCGTACGAGCGTAGCCGGTTCTACGGGCCGTTTGAGGATAACGCTGTGTGCTATGTTGACTATCCCTCTGCGGAAGCTCAGTAATTTTTTTAGTTTATGATTGAATGACCTGTTCTTATTCTAGAGCAGTGGGGACGCAAGAGTTAGGTCTGTATATACCGTTGATCTGGTGATACCCTGCATTGTTTGTGCTGATTGCTGCAAGCGGATGTATATTTCATGCGTTCAATTGTATAAACATTAATGGAACAGTGAATAAAGGAAGATCATATAAGGCTGTATTCGGCCGAAATCTGTGTAGATCTCTCTGGCAAGATCAGGTAAGCTCAACTAATGACATGGCACATGCCCAGAAATAATCAACGATCAGCACACGTGATGTTGCCATGCAGTTCTTTGTTCTTTCGTAGACATTCTTGTAGCTCTTTGCACACCTTTGTGAAGCCTTGCTTATTTAAACCCTCTCATCATATCTCCATCCTGGACAGATTTACAACCAACTCAATACAATCATTTTGATCCTTTTGAGCTCCCATAACAAGCTCTTTCATTAATCATCCGTATAATCTACGATAGTGACGTTCTTATCACATGCACCCACATGGTGGGTCAGGCTCATGAGTCTTAAAAATGAGACCTGAGTCTAGGCGACCTTGACCAAGATCATGCATGCCCTAGCCATCAAGAGGTCTGAATCAGAAATGAACAAAATGGAAGACCCCACAGACGCTTGAATTCTATATGCGTCGGACATACGGAGTATACAACCTTTATATACATGTGACACGAACTCTATATCACCGGGAACGATCCCCGATCATGGTGTCGCACATCTATAGAACACGATCATGAAAGCTCGAAGCTTCGTGAATGGTTATACGAATCTGGGTAGTCCCTGCATGTTCTAGAAGAAACACTCTGGGAACAACTGTTAGGATTGAGATGCATTCCTCAACAATCTCATCCTCTCTGGATGGGTCGCCAAGGATAGACCCGACAGCGCATCCTTCCAATACATAGGGTCCTTACACATTATTACTACATCCATGCGCGTTTATGGCAAAACTTTGCCAATTCGACAAGAACAAGGAAGACAACCCCAAGGTTGATGGTTTAACTTACGTTAAACTTCCCAAAATTGCGTCTCTTTCGTGGGTACTGTTCGGACGCATGTGAAATCAAGACTTGCGGAATTTTGTGTCACGTTCTCAAGAACTACCCTTTCCTCTCGGCCTCCGTGTAATCAAAGCTTTGTGAACTACAATGCACAGGGCATTCCAAACTAGAGGCGAGGCACGCGACAAGACCGGCTGTTAAGAACCCGTATATATACACAATGCTTCCAGACGGCCTACGGTCAAGCACTTCAGCCGTCGCATCGATTCTATAGATCGATGTCCAGAAAGGGAATTCTGGGGCATCACGGCACCGCCCCACTCGGACAAGATGTAGGTCAACGTGGTAATCAACTTGGAGTCGGCGATGAAGACAGTGGTACAGAATCAGAGATGTTTGGTAGAACGGGGAGCCGGACGACGATGATGTAAACCGCCAAATTTAGTATGTTACATCAATTGTTTATCAATCCAAAACCGAATTGGTTACATGAGTCACAGCTTCCAAGCCGTCATGGCTATCTGACGCGTATACAGACGGCACCACGGGGATTTATTCTGGATGATAACCATGTGGAGAAGATGGAAGACATCGCCTTTTGAGCGCCCTCATAGATTTCCATGAGACGCAACCGACCTCACATGGGATCCCGGGGAGCTTGTTGTTTATTATAAGCTCAGTCAGGGTTACCGCATGCTACAGATGGCAGGTCTACGGAACAGTAATCCCCTTGGCCTCAGGTCGATCTGTTGTTCAACAGGCTGATGGGTATGCCGGCGCCAATGCTCTAGATACAGCACCGCATGCATCCTGATATACCTCATTCCCAGGGCAGGGCGTTGCTCTACAACCTCGAATGGTCCCCCAATGGATATATAGCAAGTGCTATATGGGATAGGAATCGGTGCTTCTTGCTATACGCTTACTACTGAGACATACTTTGTAACACTCGACAAGGAACTCAGACTACGGGAATGGGAGGCTTTCTCGAAATTGGGTTTTGCTTCACAATCATGTTTTGGATCTGATCTTGTATGCCAGCCTCTCGTAGGTTAAAGCGATAGGAGTCTATTTGGCCCTTCGTGTTCTTGATGATCTCACACAAACATGAAACTCAGCTCATCCACGGTAGCCTCAATACTACCATGCACCGAATTGATACAATTCCCATCTTGTAACTATCGCGTATATCCACCACGGGATGATGAATCCCGTCCGCGAATGCAGTACAGAATGCCCCCACCACGAAAAGAATAAAAATAATAATAATTAACTAATTAATTAACTATTTCTACAAGCGCCGAATAAATGAAATACGGCAATTTACCTAACCAAAATCTACCGAGTGGGGGAGAAAGTGTCAAAGATACTCGTATTTCAAAACAAGGGGACTTGCCCTACGAACCGTCGAATCAAGAACTAGTGGAAGGACCTTCCATATCTTTGTAAACCTTATTAAGTTGTACGCCATTCTTTGATCCATGTTGAGAGCAGTTTAATGGGGGTGGGATACTCTGTTTCCGAATTCTGATATCACGATCTCGTACTTCCTGATGATTAAGTTAAGGGACCGACAGTTGGATCTCACCATTTTTCAGTCGATAGACTCGACTATCCCTACCAAATGAAGAAGGTTTCTAAATGCCGGGCCGTGAAGAATAGAAAAAAAAAGAAGCGAGACAGAAAGTTCGCTCTACCAGAGATGTAATATAAAAAAGGTTTTGATCTGCAGATAGTACCTGCAGAACGTAAATAGTAAGTTTACCGGACAAAAAACCACCTCGAAAGTAACTTTTCTAGTTTTTCTCTGCCTATTTGCTAAAAGGTACTGCCAAATATGGAATCCCTTCATTCGTTATCGCCATGTCAAATAAACTCTGACCCAAAGATGGAAGTGGGCCGACAACCGCGATTAGAAAAGAAACGTCAAACCATGGTACAGGCTCGCTCCAAGGTCGTAGCATTGTCTGTTTCAGGAAGTTTTCATTTACCCCACCGTCGCCTACTTGAAGCTTTTTGCTGTCTGTGCTCGGTACCAGATTGAAGGATCCGACGGCCCTAATCTGCAACAGCGTCTGGGTTTCCAAAAAGAACCATCGACCCGTTGCACCGGATAAGGCATACTCCTGAGTCTAATCTGCCAAATATCCAAGACGGTGCCTCCAATTTTGAGCCAAAAGGGACAATTATGTACTACTGACTTACCTGTTTTGAGTTGGGAAAACGGAGCAAGCATACAGCTGTCATTGGTACGCTGGATATCTATTGAGTATACAGGGTATATAATCTCTTTGAGAGTATTCCACTTTCTATTCGACATCTTCATTGTTTGTTAGCCTCTTATCTTCTTCTCCCAACCTTCTGTACAGTATGCAATTACTATCCGAGTTATGAGCATTCAACAGATTCAAGTAGAAACCTCTCCCCTGAACACCATTGTATCCGACCCCGGGGAATTTCGATCTGTAGTTTTGCACGCTACCTTTCTAGCAGGAATCTATCTCGAACGTCCCTTGTAAAAGTTAAGTGATACTATATGTGAAAGTATGACTTTAAAGTTTGGGCATTGCTGAAAGAAGCTGTCTCATTATCTTAAGGATGTTGACTGGGTTTGATTGTCTTGATGAGCCTATCGGATAGACTAGAGAAGCACGGTGGAAACGATAAATTCGACGAAAATAGATGCAATAGATTGACTTCGAGGCAATGAGGCTCAACAGAAAGAATAAATTCATATCACGTGGTATAATACACGTGACTATATGATTGACCTCGCCGCCCTACCCCTTCCGCCTGCCTCAATCATCAGTTACCGGCAGAATTCCGCGGCAAGGGCCGAAACGCGGTTATGTTTACAGTTAACTCCGATAACTGCTGGACAAAGCTGATACTCCTGTCTATTGGCTAAGTTGAGCTTGTGAGGTGTGGGATACTCTGAGAATCTATTGAATCAAAGTACAGTTTAGTTACACTTATCTGTGGGAGATCACAGGAATGTCCTTCCGGTTCTTAGGGATACTAGTGTTCACGTAAATTATTGTTGACTGTAGAATGGTTGAACAAAGATATATATGCAGCGGTAGGGTGACAGTGTACATACTAATACTCATGCGTAGAGTAAAACCCACAAAATTTGGTTTGAAGTATTTAATATCTTATTTTCTTTATTTTATTAGAGTACGACAGAATTCTTCAATGATGAGCGTTTAAAAGAACTGAAGCCGTAACCCAGTTCATGGTCCTCCTTCCAAGCAACTTTCTTGTACTCCGTACGCAGGACCTGAGGCAGTTTGGTGAGGCAGTTCCCGTGACCACGGAACGGAAGAGCCGGAAGGATGAGTCAGCGTCTGAGTCAGCAACGCGGAGAGTGCGGGGATTGTTGTGGTTGATGCCTTGGCCAGGTTATGCCTATCGGTCAGTGACGCGAAGTATTACGTAGAGGAAATGAATTCAATTGGAGTGTCAATTGATATATTTAAAATAGTAATATAGAGAGAAAAATAATCAAGACTATTGGTCCTAAAACAGGGGAAGGTATATGAAAACGGAGGTCGGTGACCGAATTGGTGGTGGTCGGTTCCTGCCTCAGGTTCTCCGCGCGTTCCTCATTTTCCCTTCCGCCCACGTCACGGTCTGACTGATCTTTTAACTAATCCGCCGTCTTTCTCTCCCTCCCTCATTTTTCTCTTAGTCAACGTCCCCATTTCACGCTTCCCCCTGCTTACGAGATCATCCTCATCAGTCAGCAAAAATACAACTTAGTTCCTAACAGAACTAAAACTATTTTGACAGCGGCTGAATCATCATCTCCTTGGCTAACCCCCGATAAGCTAAACTATTGTACTGCTGCTGCTGCTTACCTCATCGCGCGTCTCTCCATTCCAATCCCTCTACGAACCTCGTCGATTGTCTATTGTGAAAAGACTGTGGATTCAGTCCGAACTAATCTGAACCTCCTCTTGGTTGAGCTTGAGTGGACGTGCGTGTTGCGGACTCTCTCGTCGCGTCTTCGTGTTTGAACCTCTATACTCTCCTCCATGCAGCCTACATTAGCTCCAGCGCCGCATCCAAGCATGCAAACATCTGCTCAGGTAAGCAGCCTCCGGTTTGTCATCAGATCGCCTGTACCCCATTGCCCACCACTCCCATCCGAGAGACGTAATGGAACTCAAACTATGTCTCACGATGTCACTCGGGGTTGGAGTCGCTCGCGTCCGCTCGGGGGAACCGATCCGGCGTCATCCAAATTCCTCCGCGGTCGCGTTCCCTCAAGTACCATACACAACTTATGAAGTCATCACATAAACTAATTGCATCGATAGGACCATGCTGATCAGGGTAAGTGTCGCATTGTATTGGTTATAAAGAGAAATTCGGGAATAAAGCAAAAGAAATTATATGAAAGATGAAGACTGTTATCCGTGCATCGTGTGCTGTGAAGCGACCTCGATCATGGATCTCTAGCTTTGAATCTACTCCTCTTCCTAGTACATGCGCGGAGAAATGCTGACGCGCGTTGGTTCTTGAATATAGTGCTCCATGATCAGCTCCTAGCGGCCCATCAGCACCTATCGCATCCGCAGCAACCACGTCCCCAACCGCCTACCGCGCAGCCACCGCACATGCAGCCCAATACAACAAGTCCTCGTGATCAGAACAACATTGATCCCGCGATTTCAGGTGCTGCAATGCTCAGCGGTCCGCCGCAGACGCCTCCTCAGCCGGAGCCCACGGGCCAAGAAAGCCCGAAGACGTACGGCAAGCGACCGTTGTCGACCTCTAAGCGCGCTGCTCAGAACCGTGCCGCACAGGTATGTTGGGAATTTCCCATACGCTGGGGACCCTGCTGACTGGGGAACAGCGAGCATTCCGCCAGCGGAAAGAAAGTTACATTCGCAAATTGGAGGAGCAAGTGAAGGAGTTTGATACCATGTCGGAGGCTTTCAAAGCGCTGCAGGCGGAGAACTATCAGCTGCGCGAGTACATCATCAATCTCCAGTCGCGACTTCTGGAATCCCAAGGCGAGGTGCCCGAGCTCCCAGGAAACATCGACCTGAGCCAGCCACGAACCGACTTGAATGTACCGCAACCCGGTGCTGGGCCTGCAACGACGTCTTCGTCGGCGCCAGCACCCCCCTCAGGAGCTCAACAAGCGCAGCCGCCTCAGGGTGCTGCGTCCAACGACGACATGAACTCCCTAAACCGGATAGCCGTGGCCGGCTTGGGGATGCGCAAGCATCCCAACGAAGAGGCTAACTACCTTGGCAGCAACTTTGCAGCAGGTCGTCGGACGCGCCCCGATGAGACCCAAGCTGACTCGGAAGCGACAAAGACGGAGCCGCCCCCTCATGGGCTTCCCATGGTCTCGTGATCGCATTCAGTTGTTGTCCTTTTTTCCAAGTTCTTGACCCTTGTGCTACCTCCAGATACCGGTGTTATCACCTTTGACGCTGATTGCTTTTGTCGCGTACTCTTTTCTTTGTATTATCCCGCTTTTATGCTTGGGTGTATGGCGTGATGTTGTTACGTTTTCTTTATCTAATGGTTTTGGAAGGGATGGTGTTCTGTTGTGCCTGGATTTCAAACGCCCAGTCCGACAGGCAGAAGGCCACTGTCTAATATTACTTGTGACCGGGTGTGGATTGACTCGATAAATACATTGAACTGTTGGACTTTTGTTCTTTTCTTTTTTTCTTTTCCTTGAATACTTGCTGTTCAACACATCTATCATATGCTTCTATGTACTACTCATCAATCGTATAAGCACATAATCCACTAGAGCAAGGAAAAGAAAAAATAACCTCAAACAAGATACACTCAATAACAAGTTAAAATAAATAAATAGATATGTATATCCATATCCGACCCCAAGATCAAACAAGCTATAATAAGTAAGCTTCAACTAGTCCCTATAAATCATCAAACAACGAACAAAAATAAACTAAAGACCTAAAACCCAGAGGGTCAA